AATAGTACATACTTATACTATGGTTAAAGCTCTTACTTCATAATTAACAAATCAGCAATTAGACAGCTATCAACCTTTTCTCTTAATAGTACATACTTATACTATGGTTAAAGCTCTTACTTCATAATTAACAAATCAGCAATTAGACAGCTATCAACCTTTTCTCTTATCAACGTAAGTCCACTTTAACACACTCTGTGCAGACCAATCAACTCTGTTCATGCAGCGGTAACTTTTCACAGTTCAGTGTTGCAGCTGTCTTGTTTTTCCCTGCCACCTTGGCACAACTCTGCAGTTTCTTATCTTTCTTCCAAGACCTGTTTTTCATCAAAGCCTTGCTGCTTCTCTGATGCTGTGCAAGGCTGACAGGCCAATGTCTCCCCCAATGTCTTCCACAGTAAAATCTGCAAACAGTTAATCAAACATAGCAATTTGTTTCCACTTTATTGGACATTAGTTGTAAATGCTACAGCAAATCAGAGCAGGGTGGGAACAATTATTTTGGTATACAGCTTGGCATTGTAGGAACAGCAATTCATCCAAAATGACAAATAGTACTAAGACGTTCTGTCTATGATGCTGGCATTGTCATTTGGCATTTTATTTGGGAAGTGAAAAGGGTCTGTGAGTCTTTTCCTTTGACAGTATATGTTCCCAAAAATGAAAGCAATTGTCCTGACTTCAAAACTTCAGTAGGAATCTGAAGAAACAGAACTTCCTTTGGAAAGAAAATAGTACTTGCAGACAACTCTGTAAAGCCATATGTATTGTTGATATGATGTAGATATAAATAGCAAAATCAAAGCACAATTTTTGACCTTGAGGGCCCGGTACTTACAGCTTTCTTGGACTTGCTCATTCATCACTTACTAAGTTTAATATTGCTTGATCCTGCATCACTGTAAAACTGGAAATCACTGATCCTGGTTCTTTTAAGTCTAATGGAAATCAGAACCATAGAACAAAGCAGCCTATGGCCTTACTTGTTGCTTTTTAAAGTTGAAATTATTTTCTAATATGATTTTATAAAGCATAAGGAGTTTTAGATTACTTCAACTGTATCAGTTATTGGAGAAAATATTAACTACATGTGTAAGTGATAGATGTTAGGTACAAATATTAAAATTTTTGTAATTTATTTTAGACTTGATTCATTGTATGAATACCTATTTAAAGCTATTAATTTCTTGCTCATAAAAAAAATAATCAATGTCATAGAAATCTAAATTTTGAAAAAAATACAATCAATATTCTTTGGGAAATAAGGTGTTGTCTTAAAATGTTTATGTCTTTCCTAAGGTGAAGATTATTATTGCAGATATACCAGAATTCTGACCATGAGGTAACAGGAAGATGATTACCAATGAACAGGGTCCCTCAGCTAAAAATCCACGCAAAGGAGAGATCTAGGCTTACACAAATGAATATTCACCTTTAAAAGCTTTTGCTTTCTTCATAGCAGACTTTTTTTTCCTTCTCCTCCAATGGAGATAAGAACATCATGTCTTGCTCTGAAGGTGATGGGCCACTCCTCAGCCTACAGAGAAGTAATCTACTTTTTGTTGCCTCTAGAGTAGTTCTTTCTCTGCTTTGTGTGAAGAACTGCTGATAGTTCAGTCGCTTTGCTGACTTAAGAACTGCTTCATATTTAGCAAAAACTAGAGAGTTTGTTGAGATTTTACCAGACAAGAGGAAAGAAATAGGGGATCCATTCTGTGAGCTTTGTAAGATACTACTGAGAAAATTTTTAGAAACCTTGTTTCTGGTAGGTAATGTTTATGTTGTGTTACTGATGGTGAAATAACGTACTTTAGTAAATGAATTACAATATAATCTCTTTAAACCACATAGCACTGCAGTAAATAGGTATGCTCTAAAAATGCTAATTTCATCATAAAGGTCACAGCAATGCTGTGCAACTGGAATTTAGTCCATTTGTCTTCAATTAACAAAGACTGCATATTCAGTCTGTGCATTTAAAAAAAAAAAAAAAAAATTATGAAGTGTTTCTTCCATGGTTTCTTACCACACAGACAGTGCAAATCAGCTAGCCAAAAGAGTTTTGGTCCTGAGTTCTCATGCACATCTGAGAATCATTCAATTTGAATAGGAATTGTGAATTGTTGCTTTAATGTGGTAGCTGCAAGCATGCATGTGTGTGAGAGGGTGATCCCATTTCCATCTGCTGACTGCAGAACATACTCATATTTTATAGCCGACAGGGGCTCTTGCTCAGTACAGGGACCAAAACCATCCAGTTGCCTGTTGATGATCCCTGTTGATGATGTTTTAAAAGGTTGGTATGGGAAGAATAATAATTTCATTATAGAGTAACAGAAGTTTGGGATTATTCATTATTTAACTCTGTTTTGATCTAGAAGATTCTTCAATGGGTTTTTCTTAAGGCAAATATGGATATATCAGATTTAGTGACTGCAGTGGAAACAACTAGGGTGTTTTGTGGGTAGAAGTGGGCTCTTCCTTAGAAGAAACTGAAAAATTAAAATACTTAAACCACCTGTACATATCTATAGTTAATCATGGTTTTGCTGTGTGAATATTACTTAATTTCTAGGCTTCATAATCTGTAGATAGGACTGTAGGAATTTAGAAAATAAGTCATTTGCTACCCCTTCACATTTCATTTAATATTCCCCTTGCTGGCTTTAGCTACTCCTTTCTCATGCTGGCAGGCTGCCTAACTTCTGTTAAATACTTTTGTTTTCAGGATTTTGTACAAATTCACGTCAGTCATCACACTTTGGCTTTCAGATAGGTTGGGACAGAAAGGCTTAGAGAAAATACGTTGCAGTAAGAAAGTATATACATCTAAAATGTGTAAATACTGTATCACTTCCTGAAAGATCTGTCTATTACTTAGATTTCTTGGCCATTTTGCCTGCTTGTAACTCCTGCAGAGTTGCAAATCTTGGCTACTTTGGTGTTTTCTGTAAATAATCTTATATCTGAGTATTCTGTGTGAGTGTTCTGTACATCTGTTTATTTCTTTCTGAAGTAATCTGCTATTTGGTTTATGAGTTATTGGCTCTTACTTTTTGGATATGTTGTGTTTTATATAATCCCAATTTGAAGTATTAATGTTTCTTTTATGTTTCTAAGATCTAGTGGTCACATGAAAATGAGGTTACTTTTTAAAGCTCTGTAAATAGTGGTTCTTACATTGCTGTTTGTAATTGCTTCTTCATATGTTTATGCTTACAAGTGAAGTTTATTAAGTTGCAGTAGCAAAGACCACATTATTTGTTTGCAAATGTGGGAATGGATTAATACAAAATCGGTCAATATCTTTACTATGAAAAAACTCTTCTCTAAACTGTGAAAGATTTTAATCAAATCTAAAGAAGCTTCAGTGTGATCTTCAATAGAAAAAAGTTTATGCAAATTATTTGTCAGTGTTGATCCACCAAAAGAAACCTAGGGGACAAAGCAAGTCAGACAGTGGAAGTTAATTAATGTCACGTGTGCATCGCAAACGCAGAGGCTTAAAAGCTACCAGCACTCCTGCGTGATGATTCTTCAAAGTAACATCTTTGGGAAATGATTTTCTGAGTTTGGCTCTACAAATGTGATTTGACTGTGGGATCTGGAAAATGAATTTTTTACATGTGTCTTATGAAAGCTTGAAGCAGAATAAAAAGTGGTGTATTTCATTAAAAGTAGATTAGTTAAAAACATTTTATTTGAGAACCCATAAAGATGTAATATGAATCACAAGTTGTGGCAGCAGGTAAAAAATACACTTTGTTTCTTCTGCTTGTGTCAGTTTACTCACCCTGTTCCACCTGTGTAGGACTCGAATTATGGACAGTTTCTTAAAAGGTGCTGTGCTAACAGTAAAATCTAGTGACTTTCCAACAATGGAGAAGAGTATTAATTCTGAGATTTATACAGGATCAGACCTACATAGATAGGTCTTCAGCTTTTCTGGAAATCTTCTGCATGGGAAGAAAGTAATTCTGTATTTTGGGGGGGCTGGGTTTGTGGATAAAGAGGTTGAAAAATAGCATTATCCATGGTATCGTTGAAAGAAAATTATTTTAAAGCAAGTGTATGAAGTATAATATCTTCATCACAGAGAAATTGTGTACTTATAAAACAAATAAATATAAATCATATATCTTTCAACACTAATTAAAAAATCTAATCTTGGAGGTGAAAGTGTGCTACACTATTTTCTTTGCCTGTTGGCATATCTGAAACAGAAAAAAATGTTGCATTGCTTAAAAATAAAAAATATTATATGGCTAAAGAAGGTACTTTAAAAAGGAATTGCAGTTTCTATACAAGTTCTTATTTTACTTTATTAAATACTTAATAATGAACAATAGTATGCGGTTTACCCACTAAACAGAGATGAATTTTAACTCCTGACTACTATCAGTTTTAAAATAATTTCATTTGAAATACTTGTTGAAAGCATATTGAAGGAATGAACTGGATTAATCACATCATTATGGAAGAAAATATTTTATGCAGATATTTCTCTGTGTTTCCTCCAAATGTTAAATTTTTCCATATCAGCCTCCCAGGAAGGGAAGAAGCTGTGAGAAGGAGCCTGGGGAATGTTGTCATGTTTTTTTCCTTGTGAGGGATGGGGAACTTGCACATCTTTGCAGTATCTGCTAATTTTAAAAGAAAATTAAAATAATCTTTCTCTGTACAGTAGCATGATATCTGACAGTCAGTCTGCTGCATGCTACATCACTGGTTGAAACTTAATTCTTCCTCTTTGGTGGTAGTAGAATCTGTGGGTGGGATGTAGATCCAGATTCTCCACACTGGCTACTCTTTCTATATACTGAATGTTCCCTATCAGAGAGCTACCTTCTGGATTTTGTTTTTTAACATAGAAAATACTATGTTTGCAAGCGTATGTGTAAAGGCTCACATGCACAGAGCAGCTGTCCGTGTTTGGAGATGATGTGGCCTGACCACTTTGCAAAGCTAACCAGTGAACTTTCAGTGCTGGTTTTTGACTTGAGAACAGCTCGATCCCTCGCTTGGAATAGTGTGGAAGATATCAAGGTGATGGAAAAAAATGTTCTAAGAAAATTGATGCACAGTTCTTCAGAGAAGCATTCTCTAAGGGATACACTAAGGTGGATAACTTGGGTTGAAGTATTTCTGTCATTGATAATCCAAGTCAGTTGCAGGACATGCAAGCTTTTGCTAAAGTTACTGAAACACATATCAGTTCAAATTCACATCTAGATGGTAAGAATTTTCTCACTAATTTAATCCTTCATTTTTATCCTGTAGATATCACTGCACTTGTGTGAATAGGTACAGTTTTTCCAACATAATAACATAATTAGCAATTTAAATGTTATATAGAAATATATTTAACGGCCTTTTTTCTTTTCTTCTTTTTTTGTTTTTGTTTCTTGGCTATAGGGCAGATTATACCAGAAAGAAGATTTGTAGAAGCAATAAATCGTCAGGCACATCAGTATGAAATGGGTGACTTTCCAATAGAGTGGGAAGGTAAATATTATGGTTTTATTTCAAGATAGTTTTGCCATTGAATGTAGATTCAATATTTTTAATGTAAAGGCTGACTACATGAATAGGTTGTCCATTATCTTTCATTTTGAGTAATGTGGGCTTTTGTTTAACTGTGTAATTGCAATTAATTCTTAAAGTAACCCCTTTACAAATAGGATAAATTATGTTTAGAAAATCAGTGATTAAAAAAAATAAATAAAGCCTGTATGATCATGACTTTCTCCTATTAAAGGTAAAAATATTTGTGCCTGAGGGGGACCTGACAGAATAACCAAAACTTAATGTGTTAAACTTCCTAATTACACCTTCACTGCAGTGTTAATTTTTAGGTTAGTTCAATTATTGGTGGCACAGTGATTTTTCTTTTTTTATTTTTATGGTGGCATTTGGTTTCCTATGCTGTTCCTTGCACCATCTTGTAGGAAGTTTGTGAACCATTTTTTCCCACTGCTACTGGTGAAAATTTTTTCTGAAAATTTGGGACATGGAAAGAAATTCAGGGAGGTTAAAGTTCCTTAAGATTAGCTAAGCAGCCCTTAGAGAAGGAAGATAGGAAGTATATTTTGGTCCTTGAGGCTGTAGGAGCTCGAGCCAAATGTGGTGTTAAATGTGGGTTAAAATCCAGGACTCTATAGCATAAGCAAGGAACCCCTGAAATAGAAGAATAGTTTACCCATCATTCCACATGGTTTTTGGGATGAATAATATCTAGACGTCTACCAGAAGCAGACTTAAATTTTAAGCAGTATGCAGTTAAACTGTGGAATTCCTTGTCATTGCATAATCTGCTTGCTGGAAGTTTGCATAAATTCTAAAAATGATTGAAAGAATTTGTGGAAGAAAAATCCTTCTCATACACAGATATTACTGTGGTTTAATTTGTCAGTGAGCTACAAATTAATGGAGGCTACAGTGTATTTTGAGAAAATGTATTATACTTGCTTTACCTCATTCTCTTTCCTTTGCACTCACTGTTGGCCCCTGGGGGAGATAATACTGAGCCAAGAGAAGACTTTGGTCCCATTATATCCCGTCATGGAGTCAGTAAAGAAATATCAAATTTTCCCATCTTGCATTTTATCATTGTCATTACACTGATTCCTATGATTTTTTCTGGTAATCAACTCAGGCTAGGATTAGCAGCTAAAAGCTTCTTTCAACCTTATTACCAGCATTTGCCAAGTGTGGTGAAACCACAGTATCAACAGCTTCTGTCTTCTACTGCCACAGTACCCACAGCTGGCAAGTCTTATTCTAGTTGCTGCTGTTTATCAGTCCAAGATAGCCATCTTCTGAAGGAGAGAAGCAGCCTGGTAGGTTTATCCTTACTAAATCATCTGGTGCTTGAATGGGTATCTAATCCAACTTTCTGAAGGTCTGCTTCCTCATCCAAAAGTTCCCCAGCCACTCCTGGTCATCTATCTGTCTGTGTGTGACTGTCATGCAATCACTCTGAACCACAAACACTGAGAAGCATGTATACAGCCTCAGGTAACTCTGCTCTGCTGTGAATGAATTCTCATCTAAGACCTGCAGCTGAGTTCAAAAGTGCAATCTAACCTGTTTGTTTTTTTTTTTTTTTTTTTTAAACATTAGAAACGGTTTTGTGGAAGTACAACATAATTTTAAAAAGCCAAAACTAGTACTTATGCTCTGAGTATAGAGACTGTTCAAAGAATTATTGTGTCTTTGCTATATATTGAGGTGTGAATTATGGATGTGGGATGCTTTGACGTTCACTTCATCACTACTTCTTTTTTGCCTTCTGTAAAATGAAAAATTCTCAATGAGTAAGAAATGGACAAGAATTGAAAGAGTAGTAAGTTCAAATATTACTGCAAAAGCCAGTTCTGTGAGTGGCAATACAAACTTTTTAGAAATGCTTTGTTGAAAAGCTTATTACCATTCTGTCCCTATTTTTACCTCTTTAAGATTAGTCTAGAAGTTTTTCAGGCCCACAAGACGTGTGCTGAACTTTCAGTCTGTATCTTCTGTCTAGACTCTTGAAAATTTCCCAATTCATTCTTTTTGTGGATGTTCACTTTATAATTCGTGCTGTCATGGATGCTGATCATTGCAAGCAAACAGTCTGATACTTTGCAGAAAGATTTCTAAAATACTTGCTGTTTGAACAGTAAAAGATGAACATAAGCTTAGAAGGCTGTATAATATTTCTTCTGTTTTCTCATTACTCTTGGAAATTTTGTGGACTTTTAGTGTTCTAAGTCCTCTCTGCTGGACATCTCCCAGGGCCTTCTCTCCAAATCCTGTGTATGCACTTTGACCTCTGCAGCCTCTGCTTCAGTTTTGACTGGTTCAGCAATAAGCAGTCTCCTTGCCTAGCCTTCCCAGGCTTTTCACTTTAAGGACTGTGCTAAAGTTTCTGTTGCTTTATTTCCTCTCTTTTTTCTTGGGATCTGCAGAGAGCTGCTTTCACTTGTGCTGTCTTTGTTCTGCCAGGGCTCAGTTTTTTCACTTGTGGATAATCCTTATTGGCCACCTCATCTAAAAGCAGTCATCCCAGCACCCTTTCCCTCTCCTTTTTTCCTATATCACACTTCGACTAGAAAAGAAGCCTCTTGTGACTGAAATGAATAAAAATATTGTCCCTGGAAATACTTATGGGCATGAGTTATCTGAGGAGAACTTGCACAAAAGGAGGGACAAGTGATTGTTTAAAGGAGTGGGAGGAGGCTGTAGTGAAATTTGAAGAGGGTCTAAGTTAAATCTCATTGTATATCTAAGACATTCAGCCTGGACAGCTGTTAAAATAAGGCTCTGATTTTGGTGTGGTGTTTATCAAGTTATAAACAAGTAGTAAGGTAACTGAGACCAAGTAGAAACTATAAAGCAAATAGACAGATTATAGACTTAGTCTCTGCAAGCTGTTTCTGAGACTCTGGAGAGAATGTATAGTAGTCCTGTGAGTTTACTGCAAACAGGACTGAGAGCTTACTCCTGAAGGGGTTGCCTGGAATTTTTCTCCTGAAGAGATTAGTTATGATTGCTACACAGGATTAAATTTCCTAAATTCTCAGACATGAATTTTACAAAAGTTCTGAACCTTCATTTTGTAAAACTTTAGTAAAACTGAAACATGCTCAATATTAAAAGAAAATAATTGTAATCCCTTGTGTTATCCTTAGTCATAGTGTTAAGCTGTACACAGAATATTTGTACACAGAAAATTAAGTTGATTTTCATTGTAAAAATCCAAAAGTATGTTTCCTTTTGTACTGTAGTTTTGAATTTGGAATGTAATCCATATGCCCAATACAATTATTACCTGTTTTAGACTAGATGTCAGGAAGTACTTTTTTCCAGAAGGGGTTGTTGGGTGTTGGAATGGGCTGCCTGGGAGGTGGTGGAGTCCCCATCCCTGGAGGTGTTTAAGAGTCGGGTCGACACAGTGCTGAGGGATATGGTGTAGTTGGGAACTGTCAGTGTTAGGTTAATGGTTGGACTGGATGATCTTCAAGGTCTTTTCCAATGTAGATGATTCTGTGATTCTGTTTTTGTTTAGGTGAAGCCTCTTACGTTTTACTACGAAGTGGAAGTGCATATTTTCTTTTCTCTAGGCAATATGGATCCTCACAATATATAACCTTTCCGTATTCTTAGTTCTGAATGTTCACCTACTGTGGAATGTGTAATTTACCTCTTTGGGAGATGTTGATAGTACTCCTTAGAGGATATTGGCAATTTTACATATCTATAGAGATTCATGAGATTGCATGCTTCATGCTGCATTTTATTGCCCATCTCCTCCTAGTCTTTTTTTGTGTTTCCTGGTAACATTTAGTGATTAATGTGAGTCTTCATTTGCATGCTCACTTTTACGCTCATTACAGTGTGTTATGTGCCAGTAGGAATCTTAAAGTTCAATGAAAAACTCATGCATACTAATAAGAATGCATATGAGTGCTGATAAAAAAATGTGACAGTCTCAAGGTAGGAAATGTCCAGCTACCTTGCAAAATTCCTTATAAAAAGTAACACTGCAATGAGTACAGAATGCAGGAAGTGTTATCCAAACAAAATTAGAAGCAGCAGCATAATTAGTTTGAAAATGAGGCAATGATTCATTTTGGCAGAGCTTTGGGGAGCAGGGAAGTGTGTTATGATTGCAGTCAGTACCTTCTATACTTTACCTGGTTTAAAGCATCTTGGCTGACAATGGTGAGGGCATTTTGTTTTGTTAGTGTAGGGTATGAGAGTGTTCTTGTGGAAATGTTTTTCAGCTGTAACTGTCACTGGACACTTTTTAATTAAGTATATGCGTGTGTGGATATGGTGTTCAAATAATACGTAATAAAGCACCTACCTGCCTTGTTTCCATCAACAAATATTTAACTGTGGTATAAATCTGTTCAATAATTAAATCTGATTTGATTAAAAGTGTAACAGAGACCACAAAGAAAGGTGGAAGAGCTTTTCCTTTGTGAAACTGTATACACTGAGTATTTTTCAAAGACAATGCAAAATGTCTTAATTTCAAGATTTCATTTACTTGTTTTTTGTTAAAATTAGTGCTAACTCAGTAGTAAATCACTTGCTATATTTTTGTATACATTCATTCTTCCTTTAATTGTTACCATTCATTTCTTTTATGCCTGAGTTATGAGGTGGTGGTGGGTTTTTGAACGTTGTGTTGGATCCTCAAAATATTATTGATAACGTAAAAAAAATTGAAAGGCTTTTTAAATTTTCTGTCAGAAGGTGGGAATTAAATATATTAGAGTCCTCCTATTCTTCTTCCCAAAGACTGAGGAGTGGTCATGTGAATTATTAGAAAAATGTGTTACTTCTGAAAGACTGATAAAACTATTAAATGCTAAATTGCAATATACTAAAATGTACTCAATTCAGATTATGTTTTCCTTTTAATTTTGTAATGTATCTTGAGTTGTGGTTTATATACAATATTTCAGAAACAGATTTGCACAGAGGGAATGTTATATATTAAAGCTAACTAACATCATTTTATGGCTATAAAGAGATTTTAGTAAATTTTGTTATTGTATTTTTCCTTCAGCTACATAGCAGTGAAGGTGTGTTCTGTTAAATAATGATTTTCCAGTGCAGCTCATCAGACATGTTAAAATTAATTTACCTGTAGGAATTTGGAAAATGGTATCCAGTCTTTGTGTCAGCAAGTTTTATTTATGGTTAAACTGAAAAAGATTTGTAGTTCTGACATTTATTAGAAAGAAGGAAGTTTGGTAGCTGCTACACATTCAAATGTGTGTTAGATCTGGAAAGAAAAATGTTATATTTATGTTATGCACAATGTTATAACTGTCCATTATTTCTGTATTTAAATAGATATAGTCTGATAATGGAATGTTTGAAAGGAGAAATCTTCCTAAATTAAGGATTGTTTAGTTGCTTTTGACTGTTGGTACTAACTGATATCTATCAATAAATGAAAACGTGATGTGTAATGCTCCTTTGCTTCACAGCTTCTGTTTGCAGGACACATGTCATTGTATTACCATTCACTGTTCTGTCTGTGGCTTGTTAAACTGAGGCAGATAATTAAATGATAAAAGCTTCTAATAGAAGCATTTCATTCATCTGAAAATTACTGAACAAATAACTGCCTAAGAGTTCCATCTGCTATTGAAAGAAAACCTACTATAACAGTTATATTTCAGCAGTAGTTTCTAACTGCAGCTTAATTATTGTAAAATTTGAGATTTTAAGAATTTTTCTTTAAGAATCAGTAATTGTAATCAGTTGAAGTTAAAATGGATCTGGTGTTGAGAAAATACTAGCAATTTCAAAAAAAAGAAGCAGTTTTTAGGTGCTGAGAGTTGTGGAATTGGAACTAGTCATACTGCCATGTGACAGAAGCAAAACGGAAAATGATACTTTGTTCAAAGGAATCCTTTAAATTTTATCCACAACAGCCCCCAGCAGCGCTACAGGCTTGGGGAGGAGTGGCTGGAGAGCTGCCAGTCAGAGAGGGACCTGGGGGGGTTGATTGACAGCCGGCTGAACAGGAGCCAGCAGTGTGCCCAGGTGGCCAAGAAGGCCAATGGCATCCTGGCTTGTGTCAGCAATAGCGTGGCCAGCAGGGACAGGGAAGGGATCTGACCCCTGTACTCGGCACTGGTGAGGCCGCCCCTCGATTCCTGTGTTCAGTTTTGGGCCCCTCACTCCAAAAAGGACATGGAATGACTCGAGCGTGTCCAGAGAAGGGCAACGGAGCTGGTGCAGGGTCTGGAGCACAGGTCGTACGGGGAGTGGCTGAGGGAACCGGGGTTGTTTAGTCTGGAGAAGAGGAGGCTGAGGGGAGACCTCATCGCCCTCTACAGCTCCCTGAAAGGAGGGTGCAGAGAGCTGGGGATGAGCCTCTTTAACCAAGTAACAAGTGATAGGATAAGAAGGAATGGCCTCAAGTTGCACCAAGGGAAGGCTTAGGCTGGATATTAGGAAGCATTTCTTTCCAGAAGGGGTTGTTAGGGGTTGGAATGGGCTGCCCAGGGAGGTGGTGAAGTCCCCATCCCTGGAGGTGTTTAAGTCAGGTCAACATAGTGCTGAGGGATACGCTGTAGTTGAGAACATTCAATGTGAGGTTAATGGTTGGACTGGGTGATCTTCAAGGTCTTTTCCAACCTAGATGATTCTGCGAAATTTTGAACATTTAAAGTTTAATTTTTATACAGCTTTTTAAACTGATACTTTTACTTTTTTCTCCAGCCGTATCTTTTATTGGTGAGTGTCTATATACATAATTCACTATATCTGATATCTCTACCCTAAAGAGAAAGAAAAATGCTTTCTTGCTTTTCTGGATGATGTCGCAACTGTTGCTAAGTACAAAGATGACCTGTCAGGAGGAAAGGTTTATGTCTATGATTTCCTCTAGTAGCATTGTTGATCCTTTTACAAAGAGCATCTGCAACGTTGCCAGCTGAGAAGTGCCAGTCTTGGTCATGCCAGTTTAGTCTCTGATCTTGCCAGATTTTTTTATTGGAAATCCTCATAAAATTTAAATGTTTGATTGTGCTACAGGCACACGCAAGATTTTCTTGTTCTATAGATTTAATAGAAAGTCTTGGATTATTTTAAGGGACTGTTTTTCCTTTCATTAACATAAAACTTAAGCAGAAAGAGTGATGTTGACTGTTCAGTGCTCAGTCACTTTGCTACAATGACAAATTTGGGTCTAATCTGGGTTAGAACCAGAAGATCTCTGAGAAGAGCTGGCAGGGACTGCTTTTAAGAAAATGTTTGAGAACGGTATTTAAAAGAACACATCTTCAAAATGTGTCATCTGATAGACAAGAACCAAAAGTAATACCTTGCTTTGTATCATTTCATATATTTTACTGTTAACCTTGAGTTAAGGCTGTTGGCCTTGCCATCATGGCTAAATTCCAAGATATGTAATTCCATTTTGCCTCATTTAATTCCATTGTTAATGCTAATTAGAAGCTATTCCTCCTAAAATCAATTTCATAATGTTGCTGAAGCAGATTGGTTTTAGTGTTTCACCCTATGTGTAACTGCATTTTCAGTAGTGAGGTGACATTATGACTGTACAGCTTCTAGTGTTTTGGACTTGATGACTCATTTCCTAGTTCCCCTCAAAATACAACACAGATGGTATTAGAAAATTTAAATTTGGAATAGTTCCTTCTTAAAGCATTTCTGAAACTTTACAGACAGCTACAGGTCAGACCAGAAATTTGACTGTTTATAATGAAAATGTCATTTTTGGTTTAATTTTTCAAGCACAGTAACGAAAGTCTTAATTATCCAAGCAAACATACAAAAGAACATTTTGCCATATCTCAGCACTTGGAACTATTTTCTTTATGTTTGTTCATCTGTTCATTACTGTCCATTTACATTCTGCTACTCATTCTTTTGAAAAATATGAACAGAAAAGACAAATGTCTACAAAATATATAACCCAATACCTACCAATTGTGTGGATTGGAAAGGCATGAAAAAATGTTACAGCAATGATACTTTTGAAGAGTGATGGAGATTGCCTTGTCCACATTCAGGTGATTTGTTTGTCTAAATAACGACTGTAATAGTTGGAGCCATCTCTAGTAATTCATCAACTGAATGAAGCAGGACCTGACAGAGTGCCACTTCTGGCTCTTCATTGGGATCCTTTTGGACTGTTACCTCCGTCAGTCCCACACTAACTGTCAGCATTTGCAGTGGGAATGGGCATAAGTCTATTGATTTTGATTCAGGACAATTGTGGTTGACATTGCTTTCATTCCTCTGGTGTCTTTTCCAGCATGAATTGAGTGAGATGGAGAGAGCCTTCCCTCAGTTACAGTACCTCCCACTTGATGCAGTGGGTAATCCCACACACCCATAGGACATGGTGCAGTCAGGGCTCTGCAGCCCCTCAGTCAGGGTTGGGGCTGTATCTTGTAAAGGAATTCCAGTTGGCACTTACATAGATAGGTTTTCAGCTTTAACAATGCCTGACACATATACAGGAATCCTTTTTCTCTGGAGTAGCAGCAGTCATCTAATTTTTTCAGGGTGAAGCTCAGCTCTGTGTAGCAAGCTCAAAAATAGGCTTGGGCCATGAGCCCTGTTTTGGCAGTCAGGGTGGTATGTAAACTGTGCTCAAGCTCTTCTCACAGGGGTATTTTTTTTTTTTCCCCTCCTTTTCTTCCTCTGGAGATTATTGACATGGGAAATGACATCTTCAGTCTTTATGTTTTGGGAAATGATGTGGCTTGCCAGGTTGTGGCAAGTTCTATTGTAATGTTTTATATAAACATTTGTTTTCTGTTACAATTCATCATGATTTTGAGTTTTAATGATCTTTGAAGTTTTGAGTTTTAGTGATCTTTGAAATAATCAATTTGATTTTTATTTCTTTTGCAGCATGGATAAGGAAGAAAAGAAAGGATCCACCCACCACTGAGGTGAGAGAGATGAATTGTCTTTATAATTCCAATTGTTGTAATTAAACTACAATAACTAATTTATAGTGGACTCATCTGTCCAGTAATTTGTCACTTTTGGGGGAGAATTCAGCATATTGCTTGCATAATTAATGACATTATACACAGACTAGATATCTAAGAAAAAGATATGGAAGTATGAACTCAAATGTTCTTTAGTTGTTACTTTTATCTATGTGAGTTCTTTAATATGATCTATGTGGATTCTTTAAGATGATCATGGCCATTCAAGAGTTTCTTTAACTAGATGAATTCTGAAATTACCATTATGAATTTTTAAAATATGTCCCCTATGTATTAATGCAGTGATTTTTTCGTCAAAATTGACATTAAAATTCATGTTTCAAACCCAGTTGCCAATGGATTCGTCAGTACAGGAAGACAAATTGCACTAACATTTTACAATGCTAATGGGATGGGGGAGTTGCAGCCATGACTTTTTCCTTAAGTGGTTTGTAATGGAATGAAGCAGGGAAATATCCCACAGTCTTTCATGCTGAATGAGTTTGTAAAGAGTGGAAGGAGTTTGGCTGTTGATCTGTGTATACAGATGCACGCACATACACTATCTGCCCCGGATTTGCATTACAAGTTGCTAAGCACCAGCTTGGAATGAGTGAGTAGATGAGGCATGGTTTACTACGGAAGATTTAAACTGACACCCACAGAGGCAGATACTTGACTTGGATCAGTAGGAATAACTGTGTTGAATTCAGTGAAGCTATACTGGCATGCTCTAGCCAAAGATTTGGTCACTGAGGTCTTCTGGAATATGCTGGTTTGTGAAAAGTTGTCCTGCCTGCCTGTGTGTTAAGAAGATCTGGGGAAGGGCTCTAATACACCCATGAATGGAAGAAGTTTAAATTAAATTTATCCTTGAAGCTTTTTAGGGCTTAGAGCAAATTAACACACTTTTCTTTGCGTTAACATTCGGAGAAGCATTATGTGTGATTTTTTAAAAAAATTTTTCTTTTTTCCCCCTTTCCTCATCCTAGTTGCTTGTGAGGAAGTGATACTACAGCAGTTGTTTTGTCTAAGCTTGGAATGATCTCCTTTTAAGTAGCTCTGGCTTATACTAACTGTACACATACAACTTTTATTGTTGAAATTACCACCTCCTTTGATATTTGAAGATGGGGGGTGTTGCATGTCTTTTATCCTATCATTTCCATGAGAAAGACTGCCGTGGTAATTGTGCTAAGGTAAACCTACTCCAGAGAACGCAGGCAGCCTTGGGTTGGAATTGGTGTGGTAAAGCTCCTCCTGGTGCTGGAGGTGTTGGTTCTTCTTCAAAATATGGAGCAAAGTGGGAGGTGAGAGAACTGTGGGTCAATAGTATTCTAAATATTTTACCTTCCAGAAAAAAACAGTTTATGGAGAATGAAAGATTATGGGAGTAATGGTGCATTGAGTTTCAGGACTGCTTACACCTTCAGTTTCATGAGGTAATAGACCTGAAAAATAACTTAGCTTCTCGGTTCTTTACCTGCAGCGATGTGCTTGCCCTTATCAGAGCAGAAGTGATATACCAGGAATTTGAAAAGTAGTTTTCTTTCAGTTAATCTCTAAATTGATTTTTTCCTTTATAAGAGGTAGTTCAAAATTCTTGCTAACATTTTGAGAATAATGCTGCAGTCACATTTTAAATGTTTGATAGTGCAGCTTATTTTTTTTCCTATATTAGTGTAGAGTGATATGTATTATCTACTTTTCTTCTGATTTGAAACTGTTATACCACAAACTCTTATACCACAATATTGTTATAAATATAATTATACTGGTGAAGTACATATAGAATACTGTTTGGTACCTATTTGTAAGACTGATTTGCTTTAGTGTTTCAGCTACATAAACTTTATTGGCTGCTATTCTGTATTCCCTTCTTGACAGTAATGCTGATATGGTAAACTGCTGTTTGACAGCTATGGAACGAGGGAGTATTTGTGACCATATTTCATGTTGAAACACTGTATAACAAATCTCCTTGTTCTTTCACATAATTCTCATGAGATGACTATTTCTGAAAAAGAATGCAAAGCCCACAAATTTTGCATTTTTGCTATAATGACATTCTACTGTCAAAATCATATTGTAACACCACGAACCAGCATTAGAGTTCCTAAAGCATGTTTCTGCAGCTGAGTCTATGTTCCTACCTTGATGGCCTGTAATATCACTTTTTTTTATGGTTTTCCTTTTTTTCCTTGTCCTTTGCTCATTGCTGTTTTCTTTCTAATATCAAATGACATACATTAAACTTTAATAAAATTTTTGTTCCCTTTCTCTGCTCTGTTTGCCTACCATCTCCATTTATTATTTTATATCTGGGTTTTTTGTATTTGTCAAACTTGTCTTTTAATCAGCTCTCAGCTGTGGATGATAGAGGTTGCCAAACTGCTCAGGCTATGAGGTCACATGATAAGCTCTATGATCAAACTTTAACTAAAAATATTGCAGAGACACGGCTTCACAAATCATCTGGAGCTTACTGATAGCACTGATGACCATATTTTGGGAACCAATCGTTTGGTGAATACTGTAGGCCAACAAAATGTCCTTCATAATCATCATGACGTGTCAGTCACTTAGGTGAGAAGGAACGTGAGTTGTCCTTACTTACACTGGTCAAGGTAGCTGGGTCATGACATCAGCTAAGTCTGTTGATGATGTTCTTAAGACTTGATAATGTTTTACGTTTAGCCTATTCTTTCTTCCACAAACACCTGACTGATCTTTTTCTGTTTCTATTATAAAGCTTTCATTTTCTCCCAGAAGAAATTGCTTTCCATCTCTTTTTCGTTAGATTCTACTTTTTTTTAAAAAATGGAAGAATACTCCAGTGACTTCACAAGACAACTTGTTCAGTGTTAAGTGTTTTGCATACTTAACGTTTTCTTTCCTTCCTGTGCCCCCACTGTTTTTTCCCCATTTTTGGAGAAATTCACTTATATGTACTGGGCTAGTCATAACCCAAGAATGCCACTCATCGCTTTGGTTTTTCTAATCTGACCAGTAATGTAAACCATGTTAGTGTTTGGAAGCCTTGGGTTTTAAAAGCCAGCTTCTGGGATACTGGAAACATTTGGTTGCCTTTTGGTTTTATTACAGCTTGAAATATGCCAAGTCTCAACTCAGTTATGATGAGGGTGATAACTTTGCAAATGAATGCAGATCAAGTTGTTTCTTATCTTGTACTTAAAAATATTCTGTTCCTATGGTAATCAAGAAGTCCATCTTGATAGAAAGTTTTGGGTCACGTCTGTACCCAGTGTAAGCATGCATGTGTGTATACACATACATATACACATACAGCTTTATAACAGGTGAAAATCTGAGCATATATATATATATATATATATATATACACATTTGCATTTCTATAGCATTCTGTCATCTGTCCTTTTATATATATTTTGGGTATGGTTATATATGGTTGGCTGAAGAAAAATTGTCATTACCTTTATTTCTCTGCAGCTGTAAATTATATTTTAACCAATCTAACAAGTGATGAATAGTTAGGTAGACTATTGTTATGTATATAGGAAAATAGATGTATGTAGTATGGTTTTTGGCAAATAAGAAATGTGTCCTTGTCTAGAGAGCTTGTAGTTTTAAATTAATGAAAATGTTTTTAAAGCTACAAATATTAAAATATCTTTAATCAAATGCTATTTTGTAGAAGCAGTTACAATAATTTATCACTTTACATGAAAATTAATTTACCTGCTATGCATAAATTTTGTCAGTATTTATTAACAAAAGTTGTCTTGGGATGTAGCAGTTGTTTTACAGGAGTGATGTTCCATCCATGCAAATTATTTAAGAGGCTATTCCCATCCATTCTTCAAGCCATAGTCCATTTTCATTATGGCTCGTTAACTAGGTTGTAAGGTAAATAGAAACGTTCTGTGTTGCATATACTCCTACCTCCCAGTTTTTCTTCTGGCTACAGATTTCACTCTTGACTTAAAACATGGCATCTTTATGTTTTGGATTTTTCACATCTCATTTGCAAAGGAAAGGAAAAATGCTCTTGGGAGACGGGGGGGAAGTCCTGTTCTTCAGGACTCTGGTTCTTGGGTTTATGTTGCTATTCCATCACCACATGTAAAAGGTGTTAAACAATGTAACACCTATGGGATCACTGTGGGTACATCTCATTCTTTCTATGCACCATCATGAATTTTAGGCAAAGTTCTGCTGGTAAGAACTTCTCAAGACTTCTCAGCGCTTTGTTGATAGGGAACTTTGCATGACCTTCACAAGTTTTGCTACATTCTACATCTGTTTTAATTAAAAATAAACAAACAAAACAAAAAAAACCCAAACTGCTTCATTTAAAGTTTCAGACAGCATTATGTAAATATACTAAAAATACTAATGAAAGAGATTGTTATTTTCTGTTGTTGCAGGTCCTGTTTGAGATAGTGGTTGGATGCATAAAGTACGTGTAAGCTTTGGTTATGGTGCCTGTTTCAAAAGAGTATCTGCCTCTCTATCTGTGTCTCATCTTTATATGATCAGTGCGTATGTAACATACAGCCAGATTTTCCCACACACAGATAGTGGGAGTCATATCAAAATCGGTTTAGGTAACTTGTATCTAAGACACATTGAATCTTAAGCTTCTAAACCTGGAAGAAACTAAGAGGCATAATTTTAAGGATGTAGCAAGCCTTAAAAATATCAGATATACAGTGAGTTTTTCAGCCTTTCTGTGATTAACTTCTATTTGATTGCTTTAGTATTTCTGATTTCAGAAGGCATCAGATTTGTAGGGGGTTTTGAAGAACCCTTCTGTCTGTAACACAAGGTACATGAATGTATTTAGAAATCTAACCCTTATTTTTTACCGTAACAGACCTTGTAACTACTCACTACTTCAAACAGTGTCCTGAGATTCAGGAGTCTTTGAGTACTTGGCATTGTTCATGGCCTTGTCTGTAGAATGGAGATAGAAA